TTTCCTAAAACTTTATGCGAAGATGTCTCAGCGACCATCTGATCAAATTCAATGAAAATTTTTTCATTTGAAGTCTATAGATCAATAGAATTCAAATAAAAAAAAATTTCATCAAATTTGATCAAGTGGTCGCTGAGATATCTTCGCTTCGCTCAAAGTTTTGACGCAGCCTCTATTTAATAACCGTTTTGCTATTTAAAAATTTTTGAGCAAAGATCTCAGAAACGACCTAATCAAATTTGATGAAAGTTTATTATTTGAATCTATAGAATTCAAATAAAGAAAATTTCATTGAATTAGATCAGATGGTTGTTGAGATATCTTCGCAGTTTTAGGAAAAAATTATTTTGATAAAAATTCATGGCACCAACCTTGATTTTGAAAAGTTTGGTCTAGAGTGATTACTGCGCAATAACAAGACTTTTAGAAAATATATTAAATTTTTCTCTGTAAAAGTTTAGCTTAAATAAACGAGAACTCATAGAGTTACTACATTTTTTATCGAAGATTTGATTTTTTTAAAAAAAAAAATTGAGCGAAGATATTTCAGCAATCACATGATCAAATTCGATGAAATTTTTTATTTGAATTCTATGGATTAATAGAATTCAAATAAAGAAATTCATCGAATTTGATCATGTGATTGCTGAAATATCTTCGCTCAAAGTTCTAGGAAAAATTTTGCGCAGCCATTTTTTATAGTTTGATATTTTTAAAAAACTTTAGCGAAGATATCTCAGTAACCACATATGATCAAATTCGATGAAAATTTTTTATTTATATAAGTTCAAATAAAAAAAATTTGATTGCTCAAAGTTTTAGGAATATTTGGCGCAGCTTCTATTTTTGAATTGTATTTTTGATAAACATTTTGAAAAACTTTGAGCGATGATATCTCAGCAACCACCTGATCGAATTCGATGAATTCTACAGATTCATAAAATTCAAATAAAAAAAAAAATTTGCTAAGAAATCACTACAATCACGTACAATCGATTGCAATCGAACAATTGATCTACAATTCTATCAAAAGTTGCGATAAACGAAGATTTTTCAACAACCATCAAATCAAATTCGATTAAAATTTTTTATTTTAATTTTGGAAATTTATAAAAAAAAATTATTAAGGTAGGATATATAGTTAAAAATTCTTCATTAAAAGTTTTAGAAAAAAAACTTTGAGCGATGATGTCTCTGCAACCACCTGATCTAATTCGATGATGTCTCTGCAACCACCTGATCTAATTCGATGTTTTTTTTTTATTTGAATCCTACAGATTCATAAAATTCAAATAAAAAAAAAATTCATCGAATTTGATCCGATGGTTGCTATGCAAGCAGCGATAATTAAAAAAATTTTCTCTCTATTTTTTTGATACTCGAATGTTTTTTAAAACTTTTGGTGAAGATTTCCCAACGACTCTTCTCAACAACCATCTATCCAAATTCGATTAATTTTTTTTAATTGATCAAGTCATTACTGAGAAATCTTCGCTAGAATCTAAATTTTGATTATTTTTTGATTGGCTGTTCACGTCACGTGACCAGACTTTTTCGCATGGTTAGGGTACTGCATCTGTTTTTAATCACGTAGTAAAGAGAACCATGATCATGTAGGCGGCTTCGCCACCCATAATAAAATGCTAAAGATAGTAGATTTGTTTGTTTTATTCTTATTTTTATTTCGGTCAGAAAAAATTTTCTTAAGCCTTTTTATGTAATACATAAGAATAAATCAGATCAATTTATACGTATAAACTTCCACATCTAAAAGAGTATGTGCAAATTAAATTTCATAACATCTTTACAGGGAAACTTGTTTAATATAGCGAATCTCAATGCTAGCAAAAGAAAATTCGTCAGTTCTTCCTCCTCTACTTAAATAAACGAGTCGGAGGAGCCGAGTGTCAACACCTAACTAACTCTAATCCTAACCTTAATTTTAATTAAACCGATTAAACCGTCAAAATCACTTGGGTACATGGCTTTAGCCATCCCTATTTTGGATAAATGATGTGCATCACTAATAAACACAGCAAAAATCGTAAAAAAATTGATTTTTAACCACCCTTCAGACAACTTTATTATTATATAAGCCTAGAGAGCAAATTTTGCCTAAATTTTCAAGGTGCTTGATCATTTGATAAATTTAAATCGTGTGACTGATATATACCTGATACGTACGTACGTACGCACGTATCAGTATCAGTATGTACTTACGTACATACGTACGTACGTATCAGGTATTGTCTGAAATTTGTCCAATAAGAGGATTGGCTAAAGACAATCGGTAAATTCATTGCAAAAATAAATAAAAATAGTATAACGTTTTACATTTAAATTTCATTGTGAATTGGGAGGTCAATCAAATTCGTGTCTGTTGAACAATGTGTAAAATTTTGTGGAAATCCTACCTATTGTGTTACTGTTAAAATATGTGGCGATAGGTTTATTGAATTTTGTACGATTATGTAAAATGATTACGAATTTGCAATCCGCCATTTGTTGGGGCTTGGTGATAAATTATATATATGTCGTGGCATCTGCCTGACAGGTACCTGAAGTTGCACCTACCTAAAACAGCTAACTAATGTAACTAATGCGTGCAGGATGATCTAATTTCAGGGGCTAATTTCAATCAGGTGCAACTTCAGCCAACTATCACGACATATAATAGAAGCTATATACGGTAATTATATGTAAATTTATGTAAATTTATGTATAATTTGAAATACTTTTAAAATATACTTTTTATGCATGTATTTCAAGTCATTCAGTTCATTATTTAAACTCGCATCCGATAGATTCCGAAATCATTGTTACAAAACTATTTATATGGACAATTGAAAATTTGATATATTATTGTCCACTTACCCATAATAAGTTAAACTAAAGGTATTAATAAAAAAATTTCTTTGTTTAAAGCGTTTGTACTGTAGAAAATCTTTTCTAATCTTTTCCAATCGCTTTCCCCATGGAGTTTTCATAAGAATAGTAAACGTTTGGTAATTGGCAGAGTTTATACTACGTTTAAATTATTAAGCCAAATTTAGATTTATAAAATGTTAAAAAACTTGAAGGTTATACTAATATAATACAGTATTTTATACAGTATTTTACACATTTATTAAATACCGGTAGGCCAAGCAATATAAAGCTTTAACAAGGTTTATTCCAGTATTTACTCGTACAAAGAGCATACATATGTATTATTTATCAAACATATATGTATATTTATCAAACATACGTACGTATAAGAAAACTAATGTATAGTAAATATAGTGATGCGGTCTAATTGATAGTTTAGTCCAAAGGTGGTAGCACGTGAAAACATGTTTTTGATAAAGAAGAATAGTTTAGCTTTAAAAAAGCTTCGCTTTTGTTATTAATAAATTTATTTATGTATCGAAAAAATTTTAATTTATCAATAATCACGTATGGATCTACATAAATTAGCCAATCACATGAATGTTATAACCCGTGATTTTCCGTAAAAATACGAGTTTCTTCTATGCTGTCATTATTAGTCACTATTGTATACTGTATACTTTAGTATACTTTAGTATATTTTCAAATGATTCTACCAAAAAAAAAGTTTGTGAAATGAATGATTGTTGGACAACGCATATGGGGTCATGAATGTGCATGGACGCACATGCATGGATGCGCATCAGCCCATCTCTAGGTCAATCTCCGTTTCCCCCTTTTTTTTGATATTAAAAGGCCTGATTTTCCCACCGTCGTTTTTTTTCAAAAAAAAAATTCTTTCTCTTGTTCTAAAATCGTTCCCTAGTTCTAAAATCGTTCCAAGTTATGTCCGTTAAATTGTTCGTTGGTGGTTTGTCGTGGGGAACCGATGACAGTGCTCTGAGGTCTAGGTTTGAAGAATATGGCAACGTTGAAGATGTTGTTGTCATTCGTGATCGTGACACTGGTAAGTTGTGTGTTTTGACCAAAGGTTAAACGTTGAAGTCGAAAAAAATGCCTCCGTTATCGTTTTGTATTTTTTAAATTTTATTTTCGTTTGAGCAACCTTGTTACCTTTGCGAGACTTCCAAAACATATGGTTGGAACAATCTCACTGCGGATATAAGGATGCTAACCTTTCTGCTATCTTCCCTTTCCCCAAACCCTGTGTGTTGTTGTGTGATTTGTAGCTGGAATGATACTATAAAAAATGTGTGTGTAAATGTGTAATATGTCCCAATAATTCAATATATTGTGTTCCCCATCCTCCCTCATTATCCACCCTTTTATCTACTATTATGTTCGTTTGTCCTCCAAAGGTCGCAGCCGTGGTTTCGGTTTCGTAACTTATTCATCGTAAGTATATAAATTCTCTCTCCAATTTCAGAGTTTTATCAAATTGCTAATTCTATAATAATATTTATAGTAATGAAGAAGCTGAAGTCGCGATCCAAAATTTGAATGACCAAGAATTCGACGGACGAAATATTAAGGGTATATATTATTTATTAATTTTTAATTTTCGAATGTTATTAATATTTATTAATTTTCGAATGTTATTAATATTTATTAATTTTCAATGTTATTAATATTTATTAATTTTCGAATGTTATTAATATTAAAACATTTAACGTTTCTATTATATATTTAGTTGACCGTGCTTCGGAACGTTCATCCTCTTCCTCTTCACGATCTGGAGGAAACAATTATGGAAATGGAGGTGGCTATAGTGGTGGCGGCGGCGGCGGCGGCTATCGATCTTCTCGTGGTGGTGGACGTGGTGGTTACAACCGTGGTTATAACAGTGGTGGTTATAACAATCGCTATTAAGAATCTTGCTTGCTTTGCAGTAAATCACTATCTTGGTTGCACGTGACTATTCGCAACTATATCGAACGTTATCTGATAGTGATGTTTTATTTTTTTTTCTATTTGCCTATTATGTCTTATCCCATTATCATATTATCTATAACTTTTTCTTGCTCTTGAACTTCAGAGTGTCCGTCTTGACGCAATGTTTTGTAGCCTTTAATTTTCTAGTTGGTTTTTCCACCACTTAACTTACTACGCGATCGAATTCAAAACTTTTTCTTGTGATCTGTATAATTCACCCCCTTTGTGCATGTGCTCTGGTTAATGATTTTAATGTTTTTTTCATCCTTTTGATAAGGACATTGACAGATTGATTCGTTTTGCTATTTGGCTAGGTTTACTCTCTTTTTTTTTTTTTTTTAAAAAAAAAAAGAAACTTGTAATATTTTTTAGTGCTTTGTACTCTTGTGTTCCTTTTTACAATTTGTACATATTAGACGTGACGTTCTTATAAAAAAAAAAAATAAATAAAATAAATCATTTAGGGTGCTACCCAATATTTTGTAAAATAGAATGTTCTGCTGTTAAAATTCGGTACGTACGTACGTACGTACAATTGGGTTTTTTTTTTGTCGTTATTTTTGTTATATCGATATGTAAAAGTAAGTTATAATAAGTGGTAATATTGCGCTACGATTATATTATTATTATATTCAAGGTTTTATTTATGCCACCCCCTAGTAGTAATAATTAAATTTATATTAATTGAATTAACGTAACTTATCATTCCATTGAAGATATTAATTGTAGGTTTATGCAAATATGTCAAGAAATAGCGCTTCGGCACAGGCACAAAGTGCTAGGTATTATTAAAGGCACAGGCCTAAAATGCCTGCATTCAAAAAAGAATCAGTATTTTTATGCCAGATAGCGCTTAAAAAATGCCCGATATTTTTTTGCTATGTACTGTACTTTGCGTTTTATCCAAAAAATGCCGGAACTTTGCACTTGTGTTTAAAAGTGAACTGTCTATTTATGAAATAGATAAAATTGCTTTTCAATAAATTTTCATATACATCAAATAATTTAAAGAATTATAAAGCAAACCAAACCTGGAATTTATTAATGGCAATTTCTATTTGCACACGGGTGTTTATACACGGGCAATATAGAACCCAACCGATATCTCAAAATTTTGATTATGAAACCACTTTTTGGCTTCTAATAAAAAAAAATTCCTTGCGAAATTTTAGTATAAACTATACCTCGCCTCAATCCCAAACCAACCCTTACCCTGACCATAAGCAAGGATTTAATTTTTCGTTCGTAAAATTTGCATGTTACACAATTTGCAAACTACGGATTATTACCCGTGTATAACACCCGTGTAAATTAAGAAATTTTCTTTATTAATTTATCTCGTAACAGATCATGACACTTCCTGATTTAAAAATAACTTGTTATTTTGATTTCTACCTGGATAGGTCTAAAATTTGTTTAATAGATAACTCCAAAAAAAAATTTTTAAGAATTTACATTTTCTTATATCATTAATTATCATATAATGATGCGTAGTGTCGATAATTTCTGCTATAATTTTTTAAAGACTTGTTAATGCCACCTTCCATTGGACTTAACCCTTCCAATGGTCTTATGAACAGTGCTTACCCTCCCTCTCCGGTTCCGATCAATTCACAGACAATCGTTTGGGCTGTTTGCTAGGTAAACCACCGTTTGAAGGGTAGTTTTAATTTTGAGAAAAATGCGATTAAATTTTGTGCTACTTAAAATTTGCTGATTTATTTTTAGATGTGATTACTAATTGTGATTATGTGTTTATTATATATTTTATACGTATATCGATATTGTTTTAGTTAATACAGTAATAGCTAAAATACCAAATGTGTGATATTAAAAAATGTTTATATCACACAATTCGATCAGCTTGATTGCATCTATTGTTAGAATGTCCAATTTTCGAAGAATAATTTTTTTAAATCTAAAAATCTCGATAGTTCATTAGGTCGATATAGAAAAAAAAAGAATTGCATATAAATAAGAATGAGTATTAAAATTGTTCAGAAAATGCCAAACGTCGATTTTCCTAGCAAACTACCCATTTCACCGAACGCTCATTTAACCGACATCACATAAGGCTGGGGTTTAAGCATTTGATTAGTTGCAGGTATATATTTTTACTAAATTTCACCTGGTGTGATGTCGGCTAAATGAGCTGTCGGTGAAGTGATTGTCGCTGAAATAATACGGACCCTTACCCTCACTGCTCTAAGTACTGTCTGTAGAATTTTCAGGATCGGAGGCCAGTTAGGGTGTAGGCATTGTCATAAATTCAAGAACTTTTTATTGGCGCATATGCAAAAAAACATGCACACAAAAGAAATTTATACGCACTTTATATTTACTGAGAGCGCTGATATATGAGCAAATTTAAATCCATGAACGCTGCGCCTACTGCGTAAATCCAATTTACATCACTGGGTGTAGGTTTATACGGAGTAAATTTTACCCATAAATTATATAATTCTATTAGTTCCAAATCCATTTAAATTCCATTCCCACTTACAACATAGATATGTGATAAAATGACATTATAATACTAAGCAACCTTTGCGACAACCAGCCAATTTTTTAAACATTAGTAAAAATACGCAAATCATTTAAATAAAGCAGCATAGTATTATTTTTAGAAATGTTTTAAAATAAATATAAATATTCTTAATTGCAAATTTTTATAGTTGCATTTAGAACCATATTAAAATTTTAATGTATTGAAGTTCAAGATTATATACTAACAATAGATATCTATCTTTAGAGCAATTATCTAAATGCCAATATAAGTTGAGCAATGATAATATTTTATTATTAAAAAACGTAAATTTAAAACTTATCAATAGGAACTTCAACAGAATCGATAGGTTTACTTGTTAATGCTGTTAAAATAGCATAATTAGCTTTAATTAAATAAGTTAAATGATGATTTAATTGTATCTAATATTTTTTGTGTGCTGATAATTTTCTCGTGTATATAAATTCGGGATGTTTTAGTGAAACAATTGGCAATTCTTTTGCAATTTTATCTGCGTCTAATCATTGCTTTTTAATTTCATCTGTCTCGTCTAAACTTCCACGCTTCTTATCCATTTTTCAAGTTTCCAATAAACATCTCTAGCATTGGAACGTTTTTGCGGATCAACACCCATGCATTGTTTAGCAAATTTATTATAGCAATTTGGAGTTAGAGTGCAAATTCTTAACACAATCCTTCACAAACTTTTATTGCAAGACCAATATAAATTCATGGCGATCAAAAGCTCTTTGTCCAGTTAGCATCTCTGACATGATGACGCCATGCCGTAAATATTTGCAACTGGGTGTTAATTTTTTACCTGATAAAACTTTTGGTGCACAACTCCATAAATACCACCTTCCGAATCGTTCTTATTATACCTTTTAGACGAGCCATATCCGAAATGTAAGATCGCACGTTTCCACTAATGACTTTATCTTGAAAATATTACCACAGTGAAAATCTGCATGAATATCTCCTGCACTTGAATCTTAACCAAATTTTAAGAAATATAATCAAATAGCTTTAATTTAGTTTTCCAGATAAGATCTCGAAAAATTTTCTCAACTTTTGAAGACTTCCATTATCAATATATTGAAATTTCATTTGTTTCCGTAATCTATAAACATTTAGTCCACTTCCATATTATCTACATTTTATATGATTGCTAAACAGTTTAAATGTATAAAATCATTTCAATATATTTTAATAAACTGCAATAGATAATTATCTTACTTTTTTTGAAAAATAATAAAAATTATATTTAGAACTAGAAAAAATCTTGAATGCAACATGTTAGATAATTCACGGTTCTCATGCACCTATTATTTTCAATTTCTTTGATCTTTCGTGTATTGTCCAACCAGGTTGCAGAAAATACAAAACCAAAGGCTCCTTATCCAATTTTTTTAATATTATCAAGTCTATCAAATGGAATCAATTAAATCATAAGTTCATAGTCATAGGTCCTAAGTTGGAATTCTATTATGTAATAAATAACTTTAGTTCCATTTGTCCATCCTTGAATTGTATTTTCAGGATCACATGTCTGGAACCACAACTTACAAGTGTTATATCATTACATTGTGCACATTTTCCATAAAAACTTTAAAGTTATCAATTGCATTATATTAATTTTTCATTTATTTATGCGATTCTTAAATCTAAACGCAATTTTTTTTATGCTCACTGACTAATTAACAAAATAAAATGAAATTAATGGCAAATATTAATGCACTTGAATGATTATTTTAATTTTAGATTAATAAACGTCCTTTAGGCTTACTTCCTAAATTAATGCAAATTAAATCATGAAATTGAAAATTTAATCAATTAGATCCTGAAGGAGAAAGGAATTAGCAAAAGACCTTTGAAAAAATAATATTCTGATATAATTAGAAGTTTTGCAACAATTTTTTCGAGTCTGTGGAAAAGAGATGGTAAAAGCCCATTGTAAATATCGTACACCAACTTTCTTAGATATTAATTATAATTTTTTTAATTTGGAAGGAGGAAAGGCGTTAATAGATTCCCTTAACAAAAATACCACTTTAATGGTTTTAATCTCACTGGAAACCAACGTGGCCTTAAAATTGGAAGACATTTACAAAAGAGCTTTTCAAAACATTTAAAGGATATTTTTCAAATCGTTTAGCCCTATTCCTTTTAGTCATCCTACTCATTGTCATGAATTTCTCCGTAAACAATGTTTTTAAAAACAATTACATATCTTCTGTATTGACGTAAATTAGAAACAGCATTGAATTTTATGTTCAAATGTTTCTAAAAGAATATTATCTTAAAATCTTTCTTACGTTTGATAGTTTTGAGAACAATGATTTAGCAAATATTATATAAAATTTCGGATCTCTTGCAGTATAGGTGGTACCACTAATAAAATGTATTATGAATTAATTGATTTAGAAAAGTTGTCACTCATACTGCAAGAGATCCAAAAGGAAGAGATCCAAAAGGAAGAGATCCAAAATTTTATTTTTTTTATGGGAGCTATTTTTAAAATTTGCGGACACCTTTTTGAAAATTGTGGTTCTCATGAGAACAACAAAATCAGTTTAAATTTTATAAACTGATTAGAAACGACATAAATCATTTTGCAGTCGGTATAATTGTTAATAATACGGATTAAAATTATGTTGAATATTAAATTAAAACGTCTATGTTTAACAAAGAATATTCAAATTTACATACATATTCAAAATTCTATAAATATATTTTAAAATTTTGGTTTTAACGCATAAATCTCATCCATATTACCTTGAGTTATTAAACGTAACAAAAAATTTTTTATGGAAGTCTAATTTATTTTTTAACTATAATTTATATCAAATTTTTTTTCAAAAAACATTAATGATTGGATTATCCGATATCGAATACTGTGAATTGGTCGTTCTATTATTGGATAAATATTTTATATAAGAAATGTTTTAATCTTATGAACTAAAAATTCTTTAATATTACTAAGTTTAAACATATAGTATTCTGCTTGTAGTGAAGTTTCGGATTTTTTAATATAATTAGACACTTTTTTGTAAACATTCATTGATTTCTCTTTAGAGATTATAAATTTCAAGTGTCCAGTCAAAGGTTTTTCGAATAAGAAAATTATAACTTTTAGATCTATTAAGTATTATAATGAAAAGAAATAGTAAAAACTGTAAAAGCTTGCATTTTTTATATACAGTATTTATAATAATCACTAATATCAATTTGGTCATTGTTATCAGCGTTTAAAGATTCATTCACACATACCATGCTTACTAGTAATTGTTTACAATAAACACCATAGTACACGATTTAAGATACTGTATACAAATAATTCCAATAGTCATACGATCCAAATGATTTTTTACTAAGAACAGAAGTACACCGTGATCTTGATACTGTGATTTATTGATTAAATTGATAAAATAAATCGTTATTTTGACACATATATGATAGCTAATATAGTATTGAGGAAATAAACTTGGAGTAATTGTGCAGAAAGTTTGGAGAAATTGATGCTGAAAGAATTCTTGAGCTAGAAAAGCTTTATATTAAAAATAAGGACTGGGATCGGTTTAGTCGATTAATTTGTATAGTAAACTAATCAACTAATCGACTATACTGATTCAATTCACTAATTAAAAGTCAAGGTCGTATGTTAACTTAGTTTTAAACGTATATAAGTATTTATATAGAAGCCTTTAATAAGTAATAATTGTCGCAGCTGATGCTGAAAACGGCTGATGCTGAAATTCGGATCTATTTTGATATGAATTTTTAAAAATTTTTTAGGGTGTTTTTTCCCCGCTTTTTTTTTATAGTTGAGTTAGTGTTTAGGGTTAGAATTGATAATTAACAAGTATATGTGGATTTTAGCAGGGCTTATATTTTTAAATCGAGACCCCAAATTTCAGCATCAGCCGTTTTCAGCATCAACTGCGACAATAATTATTGCACGGGTCTTATGTGACAACCCGTGCTTTTTCATTTACTTATTGGCACGGGATTGTTACGTCAGACACCGTGCAATAAGATAGTTATTGTATGGGTATGAATAACCCAGCTACATACACGGATTCATATTTAAATCCCGTGCCTTCGGCACGGAATATGAACCCGTGTGTAACTGGGTTATTCACTACATACCCATACAATAACTATAAAATATCAACCAATTCGTTATAAGGTGTTACAATGCGCATGAGATACACACAATTGCATCGAAAGACATAAATGAACGTTACGCAATGCTATCTTCAGTAAATTTAATAAGTCCATATGTAACATATTCTTTCATTGCGTCAAAGTGCCAATTATTAACTGTTTTTTAAAATACGTTAAAATGTCGATTATAAAACA